AATCTTATCTGGGACACAAAAGACCTGTACAAAGAAAACTATTAAAAAAACTACTTCAAGAAACCATAAGAGATCTACATAAATGGAAGAACATACCATGCTCATGGATAGGAAGATTGAACATTGTGAAAATGTCAGTTCTATCCAAAACAATCTATACGTTCAATGCAATCCCAATCCAGATCCTATCAACGTGTGTTAAGAATATGGAAAAATCAATCACTAACTTTATATGGAAAGGAAAAAGACCTCGGATAAGCAAAGCACTACTGAAGAAGAACAAAGTAGGAAGTCTCACACTGCTGGATCTCAAAACCTACTATACAGCCACAGTAGACACAACTGCCTGGTATTGGTATAATGACAGATACATAGACCAATGGAATAGAATTAAGAACCCACAAATAGATTCATCGACCTATGGTCAGCTGATCTTTGACAAAGGGCCAAAATCCATTAAATGGGGAAGAGAATGTTTGTTTAATAAATGGTGCCAGCAAAACTGCAGATCCATTTACAGAAAAATGAAACAAATCTGTACCTCATACCACACACAAACAAACTCCAGATGAATCAAAGAATTAAATGTGAAACCTAAAACAATAGAGTTCCTCAAGAAAAACTAGGGGCAAATTTAGGGGCCATAATATATGGCATAAATCAAGCTAACCCAAAATTCACAAACAGCAGAAGAGAAACTAGACGAATGAGACCTTCTAAAAATTAAATTTCTCTGTGCTTCCAAAGACTTCTCCAAAAGAGTCAAAAGACAACCTACAGATTGGGAATAAAAATGTAGCAATGACATATCTGACAATGGACTTATCTCTAGAATTTATAGAAAACTCCAACACCTCAATAACAAAAAGACAAATAATCCAATTAAAAAATGGGCAGAAAACATGAATAGACATTTCAACAAGGAAGATATTCAGGTGGCCAACAAACATATGAAGAAATGCTCACAAACATTAGCCATTAGAGAGATGCAAATCAAAACAACGATGAGATATCATCTTGCTCCAGCACGAGTAGCAAAGTTCAACAAGACAGAAAGTAACAAATGCTGGCAAATATGCAGAGAGAATGGGATTCTCACACATTGCTGGTGGGACTGTAAAATGGTACAACCACTGCAGAAAGCAGTATGGTGATTCCTTTGGAAGTTAGAATCAGAAATACCAATTGAGCCAGCCATTCCATTACTAGGTATATATCCTAAAGAAGTTAGAGCCAGGACAAGAACAGACATATGTACACCCATGTTCATCGCAGCACTATTTACAATAGCCAAAAGATGGAAACAACCTAGATGCCCATCAACTGAGGAATGGATAACCAAACTATGGTACATA